TATAATGTGAGATATAGATGTATATACACACACAAACAAACACACACACATACATACATACATACTGTGTGTATATATATATATACACATGTAACAATACCGCTTATAATACATTGTCACTATTGCAGATTGTATAGAGGTTAGTGTTGAACTGGAATTTGCAGAACAAACCAGTGAACAGTTTTATAAAAGCTATTTTAATATACTGTATCTAAATTATCTACATGCTTATTTAACCATTTGCCGCCCGTCCTATGGCCGAATGGCAGCCGGCAAATGTCATCAGCGTTCCGGGTGGACGCCATCTGGCATCCTCCCGCACATGCGCAGATTGCGCTCCTGAAGAGCCGCGTAGCGGTGCGATCTGTCACCGACCGTGTACCTCAGACATGGCCGATGACAAATTTGAGTACCGGCCCCCGTTGCCGGTACCACCCAATCACAGCAGGTCACATGACAGTTGTATACAATGGATGGCTTCATTCATGCCATCCATTGTATACTAGTGTCTAGCTGTGAATGGTCACAGCAGGTCACATGCACATGTCATGTGATTGGCTGTGGCCAAATCACAGCTAAGCACAAAAAAAAAAAAAAAAAAAAAAAACCTGAATGAATCGATGTCATTCAGGTGAATGCTTGCTTATAGCAAAGTAATTCTTTGCTATAAGCAAATTGTGTAAAAAAAAAATACTGATCACTTCCCCATAGTGAAATATGAAATAGTCATAGTGAAATATGAAAAAAAAAAAAATAAAAAATTAATAAAAAATATATTTTTTTTTTTTTATACTGTCACCAGTCAGTGTCCCTGCTCACCGCCATGCCAGTTATATGATGACGCTGTACTGCACTGGTGACAGTATGTAAAAAAAAAAAAAATAGTGAAACTAATTTTTTTCATTTTGCAAAAAATTATGACAAAAAAAATATAACATAAAAAAAACTCAGCATGCCTCTTATGAAGTACGTTGGACGGTCTACTTTGCAAAAAGGGGTCATTTGGGGGATATCTGTCCTGTCCTGACATTTGTGGGATATCTGTCCTGTCCTGACATTTGGGGGATATCTGTCCTGTCCTGACATTTGGGGGATATCTGTCCTGTCCTGACATTTGGGGGATATCTGTACCGTTCTGACATTTGGGGGATATCTGTACCGTCCTGACATTTGGGGGATATCTGTACCGTCCTGACATTTGGGGGATCTGTATCTGTCCTGTCCTGACATTTGGGGGATATCTGTACTGTCCTGACATTTGGGGGATATCTGTACTTTGTTCTGACATGCTGGGACCTCAAGAAATTAGATTGGCTGTCAGTACTTCAGGATTGATCAATTTTCAGATCTATACCATAGTTTGTGAACTCTATAACTTTCCTACAAACTAAATAATACATCCTAATTTGGGTTATTTTCACCAAAGACATGTAGCAGAATACATCTCGGCCTAAATTTATGAAGAATAATTATTTATTTGCAAACTTTTATAACAGAAACAAAGAAAAAACGTTTTTTTTTTTTTCAAAATTTTGGGGGATTTTTTTGTTAATTTAGCAAAAAATAAAAACCCCAGCGGTGAGTAAATACCACCAAAAGAAAGCTCTAGTTGTGTAAAGAAAATGATAAAATTTTAGTTTGGGTACAATGTTGTATGACCGCGCAATTGTCATTCAAAGTGTGAAAGCGCTGAAAACTGGCCTGGGCAGGAAGGTGTAAAAGTGCCCGGTATTGAATTGGTTAATCAACGTAAACAGTCTATAGAAAATAAAATAATTCTTCTGTTTGATTATGTATCATGTTGCTTGAAAAATACCCCCCGTAGTGTTAAAATTCGCTGACTCTAGTTGTGTCCATAAGAATGTTTTAATTTTGCTGAAATTTTAGTGAAGATTTTACTGTTTTCATCAAATTCATTGGAATCAATTGGGGAAGTTGAAATGAAGGTGGTTTTTGTTAGTTGTTAGGGTTTGATTGTCTTTCAATGACCTATGTAAATCCCTTTCATTTTTTATTATTATTTTCAAATATTAAACTATTTTATTTACAACATTTAAGAAAATTATTTCTATGTAGGTACACACAAACATGCAACTAGACAGAAATACAGCGGTGGCTTTGCTGATAGCACTGGCAAGGCAATCACATGACTGTTTAACAATGCTAACCCTAGCTATTTATTGTTAGTGTTAGGGGTTGAGTCCATAAATCACCCCAGCACACAGCAGGTGATTCACGGCCTCAGATGTGCATGTTTCCCAGTGAGTCTGTGTATAGGGGGTGTGTGTCTGTGTACTTTGGAAGGCTGTGTAAGAGAATACTACAGATAAACAGGTACAGCTTATGTAGGAGGATTTAATTCATCCCTGTGTATCACCTGAGGCTAGTCACTCCAGTGGACTTATATATGGGTCTACTATCACTTTCAAGTTCCTTAATTTTTTATTTTTTCAAATATTTTCAAACATTTTAATTACAATAAAAAAAAAATGTGGTAGGTACAAACTACATGCAGCTGGAAAGAATTACATTGATAGCTGTCAATCACATGGCTTTGCTGATAGCACTGACAAGGCAATGACATGACTTTGTTTATAAACAAATAGGGTTAGCATTGACATTAGTGTTGGCATTTAAGACAATTTTGCCTTAGCATTTTAGCTAAGGATCATTTTTATTATTCAACAAAGCCATTGCTCACCAGGGCAGTTCTGTTAGAAAAAAAATTTTTTTTTTCCAGAAAAGTTCATGGAAATGGTAATTTCTTTGCAAAATCGAGTTCAGCAATCATCTTTTTATCCCTAGTAGTGAGGATTCCAAAACACTTGCTCAGTTTATTCCCTAAGACAAAACATTTAAGGGCGAAGGCACTTCTGAACTTAGAGGCATCTATTATTCATTTATATACAGTGGGGCAAAAAAAATTTTTAGTCAGCCACCAATTGTGCAAGTTCTCCCACTTACAAAGATGAGAGAGGCCTGTAATTGGCATCATAGGTAGACCTCAACTATGGGAGACAAAATAAGAAAACAAATCCAGACAATCACATTGGCTGATCTGGAAAGAATTTATTTGCAAATTATGGTGGAAAATAAGTATTTGGTCAATATCAAAAGTTCATCTCAATACTTTGACCTCTGTCATTGCCAACAAAGGATATATAACAAACGTTTCCTGTAAGTCTTCACAAGGTTGGCACACACTGTTGCTGGTATGTTGGCCCATCCTCCATGCATATCTCCTCTAGAGCAGTGATGTTTTGGGGCTGTCGCTGGGCAACACGGACTTTCAACTCCCTCCAAAGGTTTTCTATGGGGTTGAGATCGGGAGACTGGCTAGGCCACTCCAGGACCTTGAAATGCTTCTTACGAAGCCACTCCTTCATTGCCCGGGCGGTATGTTTGGGATCATTGTCATGTTGGAAGACCCAGCCACGTTTCATCTTCATTGCCCTTGCTGATGGAAGTTGGTTTGCACTCAAAATCTCACGATACATGGCCCCATTCATTCTGTCCTGTACCTGGATCAGTCTTCCTGGTCCCTTTGCGGAGAAACAGCCCCAAATGCATGATGTAGGTATGGTGTTCTTTGGATGCAACTCAGCATTCTCTCTCCTCCAAACACGACGAGTTGTGTTTCTACCAAACAGTTCTATTTTGGTTTCATCTGACCATATGACATTCTCCCAATCCTCTTCTGGATCATCCAAATGCTCTCTAGCAAACTTCAGATGGGCCCAGACATGTACTGGCTTAAGCAGGGGGACACGTCTGGCACTGCAGGAACTGAGTCCCTTGCGGCGTAGTGTGTTACTGATGGTAGCCTTTGTTACGTTGGTCCCAGCTCTCTGCAGGTCATTCACTAGGTCCCCCCCGTGTGGTCCTGGGATTTTTGCTCACCGTTCTTGTGATCATTTTGACCCCACGGGGTGAGATCTTGCGTGGAGCCCCAGATCGAGGGAGATTATCAGTGGTCTTGTATGTCTTCCATTTTCTAATTATTGCTCCCACAGTTGATTTGTTCACACCAAGCTGCTTGCCTATTGCAGATTCAGTCTTCCCAGCCTGGTGCAGGTCTACAATTTTGTTTCTGGTGTCCTTTGACAGCTCTTTAGTCTTCACCATAGTGGAGTTTGGAGTGTGACTGTTTGAGGTTGTGGACAGGTGTCTTTTATACTGATAACAAGTTCAAACAGGTGCCATTGATACAGGTAATGAGTGCAGGACAGAGGAGCCTCTTAAAGAAGAAGGTACAGGTCTGTGAGAGCCAGAAATCTTGCTTGTTTGTAGGTGACCAAATACTTATTTTCCACCATAATTTGCAAATAAATTCTTTCCAAATCAGCCAATGTGATTGTCTGGATTTTGTTTTCTCATTTTGTCTCTCATAGTTGAGGTCTACCTATGATGCCAATTACAGGCCTCTCTCATCTTTTTAAGTGGGAGAACTTGCACAATTGGTGGCTGACTAAATACATTTTTGCCCCACTGTAGACTACAGCATCAACTTAAAAACCAATAATTTTGGAAAGGCTTGATTATTTTTGACAAATCACACATTTCTAATGTGTCCCAATATATATATGGGGATTTGTCAGAACTACAGGGAATCAAGCAGTTCATGGCTATAGAACTATATGATTCTCCCTGGAGAATCATACAGTTCTAGTTCTATAGGTTTTTTTTTTTTTTTTTTTAAAGCAAACAATATTATCCTTTTATTTTATGAAGCCTACATTTATTAACAAGACAGCCGTATAAAGATGCCTCTTCTTCACTTGTATTAATTTTAGCCAGAGTCATTGTTCTGACTAAGTTGCTTACAATGAATTTGAGATTTAAAAAGAACGGGCTTACTTCCCTTGGAATAAAGATATCTGCAAGGAGTTTGTGACACATATGGTTTGCAGTCAAAATGTCACAAACAATTAGCATATGCTAGCAAGAAAAACTAATGTCTTACACATTCTTTTACTTTCTGCTTTATGATAACCCTGAAGGGAATTCCGGGCTTTGGTGGTCGAGATGGTGTTGGCTACAGATATGTCCTGTCATTTCCAACAAATCAAAGCAATGAAGAATGCTTTGCAGCAACCAGAAGGGTGAGTAACCTTGTTGTGATGTCCTGCAGTAGATAACAGTAGATATGCAGTTTATTTTTCTGCACTTCAAAGGCAACCTGTAAAAGCTATTAGGCATTCTGAAGTTTCCACTTTCTATTTTAATGGAGATTCAGTGAAGGATCACAACTTGTATCCCATTATATGGAACCCATCAAGAAAAATGCTGATTGTAACTTTTCCAATATACAGTATATGTACTGTGTGTATACTGTATATGTACATAGATGAGTTGCCTACACACTTCATATGTCACCATCTTGACACATCCATTTGACCTGCAGTGGAATTTCCAATGTATAGTAATGCCTTTCTTGTGGAAACTGTAAGGCTCAAAAACTACAAAATGGACCCATGCAGCGTTTCCCATTTAATCATCTCAGCACAATAATGTGGCCTGGGGTACTTTCTTGTTTGGTGATTCACCTGATACATTTATAAAGGAAAAGGGCAAAACGTGCTTAACAGCCTAAGCTGACTACTACTAAGGCTACTGCTTCTTTTCAGTAACAGGGGTCCTTTTAATTCCACCCAGGTATCCTCATCTAAGTCAAAAGTAGATCCATCCTTTCATTGCAAGCCTTGAACCAGAGAATCCTCAAAGGCTACCCACAAGCCAGCTTTGCAATAAAGGTGCACAGGAACATCTGTTGGCATTTGTGTCAGTCTGGATCAGTGGTGTCCTAGATGTCTAGGTCCAATCTGTAATTTCCAGGAAATACGAAAAATAGTTTATATCCTTGTTCCCTCCTCAGTTCCTAGCTTCAAACCTGCCAGTTTCACCTCAAAGACAGCCAGACATTTGATCTGCCTTGATTCAACTTTATACACAAGAAGTGGTACCGGTAATTCCTGTTCCTACAGAGGAGAGATTCAAAGGGTTTTAATCAAACCAATTCACTGTTGCAAAACTGAATGAAGGCATTCACTCCACATTTAACCTACAATCAGATATTTGCATGTCCCCAAATTCCACATGGAGTCTTGTTTTCCAACATTCTATCACTTTTCTTCAAACTTTTAGCGCCTGAACTCAGAGGAGTGGGCCCTCCAGAAAGAGATCTTTCTAATCTTCTGTAAGAAATAGGAAACACCAGGTATGGATATAATTCCTCCAGATTTAAAAGAAAACTAGACAGGTTTGTGGCTAGGTCTGGGGATTCCCTGGCTCTCCAGGTGGATGCACTGGCGATTCCTTGGTCCATGTTCAATACATTCCCTGCAGTGAGGATTCTTCCTCAACTACTCCGCAAGATAGAGGAAAAATGGATTCCAGTGATCCTCATTGCCCCAGACTGTCCTAGGAGAACTTGGTACATAGACATACATAGTCAGATGAGCCCTGGCCTTTTCCAAACAGGCCAGGCTTTCTGTCACAAGGCCCTCTGTTCCATCCCGTTGGCTTTGACATGGCTGTTGAAACCCAGGTAGTAAAGGTAGCAGCATTTCTGACTCATTACCAACAAGGTGAGGCAAATTACACCTCATAGGATCTACAACATAGAATTTTCAATATCAAGTACTTTTCTCATATTTGCATGGCTGCCCCCTGGTGTTCCTCAAAGTTTTCACAAAGTGAATTTCCAGGCCTCTGCTGCTGCCAAAAAATATTTCAAGCTGTCATCTTAGTTTTTCAAGACTCTAGACCCCTGTTTTTTGTGGGTCTGTTTGCTGCAGTTTCCTATATCGTTGTCCATCCCTCAGTTTATTTCTTGGGGATGTTCCATGCTCTCTGAGTACAATTATTTTTTCCTGTACTTTACATTTAAGATTTTGAAGATTTCTGGGAAAAACCATTAAAAAAATTATCCATTCAAAAAACTGCGAAAGAAGATTTCTGGGGTGGGTGGGGGATGTACAAAGTTCTGAACACTCACAGGTTGCCATTTGAATTTCTTGAAAGTTTTGGAAAATCACAACAGCTGACTAAAATGAAAAGTAATTCTAAAACACAAACTACAAAATGGGTTGTGTAACTACATATACAGTGGGGATCGAAAGATTGGGCACCCCAGCTAAAAATTTGTATTAATGTGCATAAAGAAGCCAAGGGAAGATGGAAAAATCTCCAAAAGGCATCAAATTACAGATTAGACATTCTTATAATATGTCAACAAAAGTTAGATTTTATTTCCATCATTTGCACTTTCAAAATAACAGAAAACAAAAAAATGGCGTCTGCAAAAGTTTGGGCACCTTGCAGAATTTATGGCATGCACTGCCCCCTTTGCAAAGCTGAGACCTGCCAGTGTCATGGATTGTTCTCAATCATCGTCTGGGAAGACCAGGTGATGTCAATCTCAAAGGTTTTAAATGCCCAGACTCATCTGACCTTGCCCCAACAATCAGCACCATGGGTTCTTCTAAGCAGTTGGTTCTTCTAAGCAGAGAAGGCTATAAGAAGATAGCAAAGCGTTTTCAGATGTCAATATCCTCTGTTCGGAATGTAATTAAGAAATGGCAGTCATCAGGAACAGTGGAAGTTAAAGCAACATCTGGAAGACCAAGAAAAATATCAGACAGAACAGCTCGCAGAATTGTGAGAAAAACAATTCAAAACCCACGTTTGACTGCACGATCCCTCCAGAAAGATCTGGCAGACACTGGAGTTGTGGTACACTATTCCACTATAAAGAGATACTTGTACAAATATGGTCTTCATGGAAGAGTCATCAGAAGAAAACCTCTTCTACGTCCTCACCACAAAAATCATCGTTTGAACTTTGCAAATGAACATATAGACAAGCCTGATGCATTTTGGAAACAAGTTCTGTGGACCGATGAGGTTAAAATGTAACTTTTTGGCAGGAATGAGCAAAGGTACGTTTGGAGAAGAAGGGGCACAGAATTTAATGAAAAGAACCTTTGTCCAACTGTTAAGCATGGGGTTGGATCAATCATGCTTTGGGGTTGTGTTGCAGCCAGTGGCACAGGGAACATAAAAGGGAGTAGAAGGAAAAATGGATTCAATAAAATTTCAGCAAATTTTGGATGGTAACTTGATGCCATCTGTGAAAAAGCTGAAGTTAAAGAAAGGATGGCTTCTACAAATGGATAATGATCCTAAACACACCTCGAAATCCACGGGGGATTACATCAAGAGGCATAAACTGAAGGTTTTGCCATGGCCTTCACAATCTCCTGACCTCAACATAATTGAAAATCTATGGATAGACCTTAAAAGAGCAGTGCGTGACAGACAGCCCAGAAATCTCAAAGAACTGGAAGACTTTTGTAAGGAAGAATGGGCAAAGATACCTCAAACAAGAACTGAAAGACTCTTGGCTGGCTACAAAAAGCGTTTACAAGCTGTGATACTTGCCAAAGGGGGCAGTGCATGCTATAAATCCTGCAGGGTGCCCAAACTTTTGCAGACGCTATTTTTTTGTTTTCTGTTATTTTGAAAGTGTAAATGGTGGAAATAAAATCTAACTTTTGTTGACATATTATAAGAATGTCTAATCTGTAATTTGATGCCTTTTGGAGATTTTTCCATCTTTCCTTGGCTTCTTTATGCACATTAATACACATTTTTAGCTGGGGTGCCCAAACTTTCGATCCCCACTGTATATATGTATGTGTGTGTGTGTAATATAATGTTTAATAGATGATGTTAATGTAAAGGGACACTGCAAATATTTTCTTGCCATCCAGACTGTTGTAATGAACGTGTTCATTTATTTGAATTTACAGGATTGATAAGCCGAAAGCCTTATCATTGTTGTTGCATACAGCAGATATTAGCCATCCAGCAAAAAACTGGGACCTCCATCACAGGTGGACAATGTCATTGTTAGAAGAATTCTTTAGACAGGTATTGACTTTCTGCTTAATGGCTATTTTACATAACAATATTATAAGAAAAAACTTAAGACAAGCCTGGAAAAAAGCTTATTGGTGCATTAAATATTGGGAAAAAAACTCTTGAAAAAGGGTAAATCGTTTTTTGGGCTTTTCCTGAAAACTGTTTATTTGTGTTAATTTTTCTATAATTTCTAGAAGGTACAAAAGGCAACATGACAGCAACACTAGTTTTACTGATGCCTTTATGAAAACAAGCAGTGCTGAGGATTGTATGTAGGTTAGCATTTTCAGAAGGAGGTCAGCAATAGCAGCTTAATAACACTTTAATCACACAGGAATAAATACAACAAACTGTGAAATGAGAGGGATAGGTGTACACAATGGTATGGTCTAAAATTAATGACACTGATACACTATATTGCCAAAAGTATTAGGACGCCTGCCTTTACAGGCACATGAACTTTAACTGTCAGTCTTAGCCCGTAGGGTTCAATGTTGAGTTGGCCCGCCCATTGCAGCTATAACAACTTACCTGGGAAGGCCGTCCACAAGGTTTAGGAATGGTCTATGGGAATGTTTGACCATTCTTCCAGAAGCGCATTTGTGAGGTCAGGCACTGATGTCGGATGAGAAGGTCTGGCTCGCAGTCTCTGCTCTAATTCATCCCAAAGGTGTTCTATCAGGTTCCTCCACTCCAAACTCGCTCATCCATGTCTTTATGGACCTTGCTTGTGCACTTTTCATGCGGGAAAAGGAAGTGGCACAAAGTTGGGAGCATGAATTTGTCCAAAATGTATGCCGATGCCTTAAGATTTGTCTTCACTGGAAGTAAGGGGCCAAGCCCAACCCCTGAAAAGCAACCCTACACCATAATCCCCCCTCCACCAAACTTTACACTTGGCACAGTGCAGTCAGACAAGTACCATTCTCCTGGCAACCACCAAACCCAAACACATCCATCGGATTGCCAGACAGAGAAGCGTGATTCATCACTTCAGAGAACAAGTCTCCACTGCTCTAGAGTCCAGTGGCATGCTTTACGCCATGGCATCCGGTGCTTTTCATTGCACTTGGTGATGTGAGGCTTGGATGCAGCTGCTTGGCAATGGAAACCCATTCAATGAAGCTCTCTACGCACTGCTGCTGTGCTAATCTGAAGTTAACACGAAGTTTGGAGGTCTTGAGCTATTGACTCTGCAGATAGTTGACACACTATGCACGTCAGGATGCGCTGACCCCGCTCTGTAATTTTTCATGGCTGAGTTGCTGTTGTTCCCATACTTAGTAGCAAGGAAATTTCACGGATGGACTTATTTCACAGGTGGCCACCTATCACAGTACCACGCTTGAATTCACTGAGCTCCTGAGAGTGACCCATTCTTTCACAAATGTTTGTAGAAGCAGTTTGCATGCTTAGGTGCTTGATTGTATACACCTGTGGCCATGGAGGGGATTGGAACACAATGATTTTGGAGGGATGTCCCAATACTTTTGGCAATATCGTGTACTTTTCATTTTTTAATGCAGTATGAACTGTCCTCCTTATTAACTTCAGTGCAAGGTCAGAACAACTGAGTTGCTGATTCATTTTGTTTTAAATATAATGGTGAATAAGGTAACTCTACCTGAAGAGGTATGGGAGAGTACACTAAAAATTCACAGAGTGATAATCCTAATATTGTATGTCCTAGCAGGAATGGGATCACAATTCACATATATATATATATAATCTTTATTTTATTTTTTTTATTTATTTTTATTTTTTTCAATTCTTTTTCATGTTTGTGGTACTTACTCCAATAGTGCCAACATTTGCACATCATAGGATTGCTAATTAAAACCAAAAATGGCATAACCATAGTCATAGCAGCCCACATGGCTGCTATAGAGGCTGAGGCTATCATCTCATGTACACGAAGATCAAATACTGTGTCAAAGTGGTTAGAAAGTTTGAAGCTGATCTTGACTTCCTGTGAATCTCCAGTCAAGAAGAGCTTATGTCAAAGGCAGAGGAGTCTTTCAGTTTCAGCTTTCTTTTAGTTTCTCTGTACAGCAAGTGCATTTATTTGCCATAATAGCTGCTGGATGTACAGTTCAATCCTCCTCATCTGCAAGAAAGAAAGGGGGGAAAGAAGTGGCAAGGCTTAGAATTTACACATACACCAAGGCCGTAAACCCCTAAAAAAAAAAAAAAAAAAAAAAAAAAAAAAAAAAAAAAAAAAAAAAAAAAATCAGCTGATGCTGAAAGACAAAAAAATTGTACCTTTTACATTTTTGACAGATAATTTATGTTGAGATAATTGACAGCTTTTTCCACTGTTGATACCACCAAGTGCCACAGACAGACATTGCAACAGGGCCCAATGAAAATTTTGCTATGGGGCCCTATAATCTGTACTTGTACCCCTGATAAAAACCCTACTTTATAACCTTTTCTACAATTTTAAGCAGATCTATGATGCTTAATGTTCAATATTTCTGAGAGATTTCACTAACTAGAAGCGGCTCGTGGCTCTCTCCCTCTCCTTACTGGACAGAGAGGAAGCATCAGGAGCCATTGGATACTGCTGCTATCAATCACAGCCTGTGAGGGGGGGGGGGGGGGGGTTTTGCGAGCTATGCTCTGTATGTCAATGTGACTTGCTATGGGGTACTTAGCAGGAGGGGGGGGAGTGGTCAGCTGGAGATCCCAGAAGAGGACGCGAAGGGAAACCATTGCACAGAGCAGGTAACTATAAAATGTTTAATTTTCAAAAAATAAAAGTGTGCCTTCGGAGTCACTTTAAACAACATAGGTTCTCCCTAAAGCCATTACTTTGTACAGGATTTTGAAAACGCGCTGAAGTCTGGAGCAGGGGTGTACTTTGGTTTGCACTACAAAGCACCTTTAGCTCTTTCACTGCCAGAGCTGATTTTTGCACACATTTTAGGCCTGAAGATTATATAAAACCCCCAACACATTATATATTTTCTGAAAGCAGGCACTTTATAGAATAAAATAGTGGTAATTATTACTGCAAAGGTCTAGGAAACACACAATTTAGGTAAACAAATACACAAAAGTTTAGCGTTCTGGATGAGGTCTGATGCTAAATTATTATTTTTTTCACTTCAATGTGCACGAATGTATGCAATTTGTGTCACAAACAACATTTTCATAGGCGCCCTTGACACATGGGTTTACATTCATAGGTGTGTATATGTGGGGGGGATTTTTTTTTTTTGTGGGGGGGCATTTTATGTGCTTGGGTGTAACTTTTTTACAATTATTATTTTTTTTGTTTCAACTTAACCTTTTTTTTTCACAAGTGGATGGATGGGATGCCTCACTAGCACTGGAGTGGATTACTTTCTCTGTGAATCTTTTAAGGTGCATGTCTTCTAAATTACAGTGATTGATTAACTTCCATTGAAGGTCACATTCACTGCTTTAAAAATGTGCCCTTTAGTGGATTAGTCAGGGCCGTGGCAAACCTTATTTCTCTTGTGCAGAATAAGTCCTGCAGGATTTATAGTACAGTAAATTCCTGGAAATTTAGATGATATGTACATATTTTACTTAGTCTCTTGGGTGTTATCTGGGAAGGGTAAACTACTTTGGCAAAGGAAGTCAATGCTGACAATAAAAAGTGAATGATGATCTGTAAACAGCAAATCTTTATCTTAAGTCAAACAAAGACAACATTGTAGCACATAAAGTACACAAATAATAATAACAAACAAAAACTGACTGTTTTCAAGGTCAGAGAAAATTGAAAGAACAAAGAACCTCAAGAAAATGAACATAGTTATTGTATTGGTTTTCATATAATTGCAGATTTATTTATGGATGTTATTACACAAATATATGTGTATTTATAAATAATTCTTATATCCTAGCTTGACTTTAAATTTTAAACAGTGCCACAAAGTCACAGACATATTACTTATCAGCAAAATTCTAACTCAATATCCGTTTTAAAAAACTATACATCATGCACTAAGTCACATAAATGAGATGTAAATGGAAAAAAATAGTGTTTGAGTATGTATCATATATTGAAACATAAATTGATCAGAAAAGTAGATTATGCTCAAGCATTCATCATATGATATAACCTTTTTGTAATAAAATAATAATACAATTAAACCCTAAAGTGTCATATGCAATCACCAAAATCCCAATAAAAATTGTCCAAAAAAAGGAGAAAAAGAAAAATCCAAAGAAAAGTCCAGTGTTCAAAAAAGGTCCCAGATTTCCAAACTTTTTCATCCAATAGGAAGGATTATATCCTATTCCATCCCGTAAGAACCTCAAAAATAAAAATAAATACTCTAGTGCATTACCTTTATATAAAAGAATAATCACTCCGTGCAAAAACACAACCTCTTAAAATGTGCAAAAAACTTTTTAGAAAATAAATTAATTATTTTATATAGTGCACATATGTACTACAAGTTAAACTGTGAACACTCTGTGATCACTGCAACACTGTGAAAACACCAAAAACCAGCACCAATAGTATTAAATACTATTACCCTCTGCATGTATATAATCAGCTTATCAGCATTATAGATCAGAGATCTTCCATTCTCTCTTCAAAGAAATTTTTCCAAGGTCCTCAGAAAGACAAGAAGGGTCTCAGGACTCATATTCAAAGTATAGGGAAAATTTTAATAGCCACTTACATTTAAAATTTAGAATTTCCAGCTCCAAACATGGCTCCTATGCAAGTTCCAACAAACAAATGCAGAAAACCATGTGTGGATAACCAACAAAATGGCCACGGCGACACTTCCGGTTTGCGTACGTGCGTCTTGACGTCACTCCACTAACGCGTTTCGTCACTTCCGGACTTCATCTGGGCACTGGACATTTCTTTGGATTTTTCTTTCTCTTTTTTTGGACAATTTTTATTGGGATTTTGGTGATTGCATATGACACTTTAGGGTTTAATTGTATTATTATTGTATTACAAAAAGGTTATATCATATGATTATTGCACTTTCTAGGGAGAAAGTATGACTTTTTGAGGGGTTTGAAGTGGAGGAGGTTATATATTTATTTGTATGCTCAAGCATTGCTGCAGCCTTTAGATTATAGAAGTTGTGGACATTGGAGCTCATAAGTAAACCTAAATACCCATCTCTGGGTTCTGTGTGCCCCCCGTTATTTAAATCAACCTCCTCTCCCCCTTGTGGCCCCACTGGGCGATTTTAATACTTACCTTTTCTGTTCGCTATTACATGCATCCCTAATTGAGTGCAATTACTTTGAGAATGGGTTAATCCTATAATCTCCTATGGGATCTGCTTGCCCCGGACTTTTTTACTTGTATCTGCTTGGAGCATTTATTTTTTAATATAGTCTTTATACAATGTAATTATTATATCAAGCTCAGTATACTGTTGTTTTCAGGGTGACAAAGAAGCAGAACTTGGCCTTCCATTTTCTCCACTGTGCGATCGCAATTCAACAATGGTTGCTCAATCCCAAATAGGTAAGAATACGTATAAAAAAAATATTTTTTATTCTATTTGAAAGCTAGCCTACTATAAAGCATTTTTTTCATTTATAAAGTGAACTGATATACACACGCAAAATATTTGTTCTTGTGCATTGATGCTCAGAAGAAGCTCTTCTTATGTTCAAGAATAAGGTGTGTCAAGAAATTAATTATGGAGAGGATTTAGATATAATAATAAAAAATCCTTTTCATCTTACCGTGTGCCTATTCAAAACAAAGCTCAATTACTTGTAATGGTTTGGCAGTAAATACAATTAATTTGCTTAATATGCCACACGAAACTGTTATGGGAACGTTGATTTATTCATAATTGTTTTATTTCTCTACAGGCAATATTACTTCATCATACTAAATTTAACATTTTCCCAGCAATAGGAAAGGAAAGCATACACCCACCAATGCGTATATACATACCCTTTAAATGCCTTCTGGAGCACCACAGAGAATGGGTGGAATACTCTGATATGGAAAGCTGACATTCCATAAAGTAGTTATCCGCTCTCTTCCACCCTCATTACTATTGGTTATTAAGCCTGCCCATAATGCGTAAAACAAACAAAGCAACAGGTTTCTTTGATGCTCCTTTTCCCGAGCAGCACATCCCTTAATTTTACTCCTCCACTGAGCCATTCAGCCACTGGGGTGAAGAAAATACCTGGTTCTTCCAGGTATAGCGGGTGAATGTGACTCTCTCCATGTGGTTGGCCCACTGTCACATGGGGGGATGGGGAATAGGGAGTCCTATAAGTTTTCATATAGAACTGTGCCTCATCGTTGGTGTCATTGGTTGGAATTGTGACCTATTGTTGGTATCATTGGGAGGAATTCATTGGTGGTCAGATAAGAGCCTGATAAAAGCAAGCAAAGGGTGCATCCAGCATCTAAGCAAAGAGCCAGTTTACTTTCCTTCAGATCTTAGGGGAGCCGGATCGGAAAAATGTCTTGGCATTAGTGGGAATAAACAATGCTCCATCTTTGGTGTTAGTGAGAGGAATTGTGCCCCATCAATGGTGTCATTGGGAGAAATTGTGCCCCATCATTGGTGTCGTTGGGCTCCATTCATAGTATCATTGGGATGAACTGTGCCTCATCGTTGGTGTCATTGGTTGGAATTGTGACCTATTGTTGGTATCATTGGGAGGAATTCATTGGTGGTCAGTGGATTAAATAGTGCCCCAAGGGCCTGATAAAAGCAAGCAAAGGGCTGCATCCAGCCCCTGGGCTACAGCTTGGAGACCAGGGGTCTCCAAACTTTCTAAGCAAAGGGCCAGTTTACTCTCCTTCAGACCTTAGGGGAGCCGGATTGGAAAAATGTCTTGGCATCCGTGGGAATAAACAATGCTCCATCTTTGGTGTTAGTGGGAGGAATTGTGCCCCATCAATGGTGTCATTGGGAGAAATTGTGCCCCATCATTGGTGTCGTTGGGCTCCATTCTTGGTATCATTGGGATGAACTGTGCCTCATTGTTGGTGTCATTGGTTGGAATTGTGACCTATTGTTGGTATCATTGGGAGGAATTCATTGGTGGTCAGTGGATTAAATAGTGCCCCAAGGGCCTGATAAAAGCAAGCAAAGGGCCGCATCCAGCCCCTGGGCTACAGTTTGGAGACCACAGATCTAGAGCAACTTGGATTTAAAAGACACATCCCTGTGTCAGATGTAAGTATAGTGACAGGGAGGAAAGACAAGAAGAGTACAAGGAGCTTGGAGGAATTAAAGTGAACCTGTTGTTTTGCCCTGAAATTATGTTTATCATAAGTTATAGGCAGGAAAAAGTGGGCTGGCTTTTGACTTTGAAATGTAAAGTATGATTGCATATCAGATCAATGATGTCCTAGTATGCTCAAGGTGATATTCAACAGTACACATGGACACAAGAAGGATTTTTCTGTTTTGAAATCTTAAACCCAAAACCAAAAATGTAATAAATTGCAGCTTACCAATCACTAGATGTGTTGGCTGCCTTAGTTTTCTATTTTTGCCTTTTTTTTTCCCTTTGCTTTCACCTGGTGATCCACTTAGTTACATGCCTCCTGTATTAGGACACCTACACACTGGATGAAAGAGCAGCAGAGATACCTATGGACAACAGCATTGCCAGTCTGGGGGTGGGTAGTGTTACATACACAAGCAGATTTAAATACACTAACGAAATGAAGCCAAACTCCAGCTCACACGTTATAATCAGTTAAAGGAAAGAAAACTGATTATTAACTGTAAGAGGTTTTTTACATAAAATAAAAGGCGATCATTCTAAACACCCCTGTTAGTGGTAAATGGTTTGTCTCAACCTTCAAACTGCTACATCTGTAGGACAAGTTTGTTCTGTTGAAAAACAAAGTCTTACTAGCCTGATCACCAGATGAAAATAAAAGAAAAAACATAACTAATATAGTCATCATATCTAAGAATCGGTAAGTTGCAATATGATACATGTTTGCTTTTGGGTTGAATCCTGTTTTAGGGTCTGTGGAAATATGTAAGTAAGATTTTCTGTTTGTTTTAAATGCACCAAAGTGTAGTTCTCAGTGTATGAAGTTGAGATCCTTCCCTTATACAGTCAGGTCCATAAATATTGGGACATGGACACAATTCTAACATTTTTGGCTCTATACACCACCACAATGGATTTGAAATGAAACAAACAAGATGTGCTTTAACTGCACACTGTCAGCTTTAATTTGAGGGTATTTACATCCAAATCAGGTGAACAGTGTAGGAATTACAACAGTTTGCATATGTGCCTCCCACTTGTTAAGGGACCAAAAGTAATGGGACAGAATAATAATCATAAATCAAACTTTCACTTTGTAATACTTGGTTGCAAATCCTTTGCAGTCAATTACAGCTTGAAGTGTGGAACGCATAGACATCACCAGACGCTGGGTTTCATCCCTGGTGATGCTCTGCCAGGCCTCTACTGCAACTGTCTTCAGTTCCTGCTTGTTTCTTGGGGCATTTTCCCTTCAGTTTTGTCTTCAGCAAGTGAAATGCTCAATCGGATTCAGGTCAGGTGATTGACTTGGCCATTGCATAACATTCCACTTCTTTCCCTTAAAAAACTCTTTGGTTGCTTTTGCAGTCTGCTTTGGGTCATTGTCCATCTGCACTGTGAAGCGTCCAATGAGTTGTGAAGCATTTGGCTGAATATGAGCAGATAATATTCCCGAAACACTTCACAATTCATCCGGCTGCTTTTGTCAGCAATCACATCATCAATAAATACAAGAGAAGCAGTTCCATTGGCAGCCATACATGCCCACGCCCATGACACTACCACCACCATGCTTCACTGATGAGGTGGTATGCTTAGGATCATGAGCAGTTCCTTCTCCATACTCCTCTCTTCCCATCACTCTGGTACAAGTTGATGTCGGTCTCATCTGTCCATAGGATGTTGTTCCAGAACTGTGAAGGCTTTTTTAGATGTCGTTTGGCAAACTCTAATCTGGCCTTCCTGTTTTTGAGGCTCACCAATGGTTTCCATCTTGTGGTGAACCCTCTGTATTCACTCTGGTGAAGTCTTCTCTTGATTGGTGACTTTGACACACATACACCTACCTCCTGGAGAGTGTTCTTGATCTGGCCAACTGTTGTGAAGGGTGTTTTCTTCACCAGGGAAAGAATTCTTCGCTCATCCACCACAGTTGTTTTCCGTGGTCTTCCGGGTCTTTTGGTGTTGCTGAGCTCACCGGTGTGTTCCTTCTTTTTAAGAATGTTCCAAACGGTTGTTTTGGCCACGCCTAATGTTTTTGCTATCTCTCTGATGGGTTTGTTTTGTTTTTTTAGCCTAATGATGGCTTGCTTCACTGCTAGTGACAGCTCTTTGGATCTCATCTTGAGAGTTGACAGCAACAGATTCCAAATGCAAATAGCACACTTGAAATGAACTCTGGACCTTTTATATGCTCATTGTAATTGGGATAATGAGGAAATAACACACACCTGGCCATGGAACAGCTGAGAAGCCAATTGTCCCATTACTTTTGGTCCCTTAAAAAGTAGGAGGCACATATGCAAACTGTTGTAATTCCTACACCGTTCACCTGATTTGGATGTAAATACCCTCAAATTAAAGCTGACAGTCTGCAGTTAAAGCACATCTTGTTCGTTTCATTTCAAATCCATTGTGGTGGTGTATAGAGCCAAAAATGTTAGAATTGTGTCTATGGACCTGACTACATACTTTCTGTAAAAGGAAAGTGTAGAAGAGTGTTTATGGAACAAAAAGCCCTGTTTCCCACCAATGTAGTCATGGCCAAGGCTGGGTTATCAATAATGTACAGTATTTAATTGAAGATGAAAATCAATTTAGATACCTGCAGTAATATTTGAGCTACAAGAAGTACACAAACGTTGGACATACTGCATCTTAGGTAAAACAAAATATAAATATACCCCTAACTGGATTCAATTAGGAAAATGTGTGAACCCCTGGTTGAAAGTTGTATGATTCTTGTATGAAAACATTTATCAATAAACTTCTAAGGAAGGTCCAACGCTACCAAATAAAGCAAGCAATGCAAGTAAGCCAATCACTGCTAGTGGCAACCAGGCTTTGCAGACAGAAAATCGGCAAAACAAGCCCTTTGAAGCATTACTAGCATATAAATCATATTGTACTGTTAGCAGATATACCGGTGCAGAAAAATGTGAACATTGATAAAACTAAAATGTTATTGGTTTTGGTTGTGCTTTGTTGTAAGTCACCTCAAAAGCCAGGAAAAACAGGCATGTACTGGCTAATTTCCAGAATTGGTCACAAGTTCAGTACTTACATAGTTACACAGTTAGTCCTGAAAAAAGACCAAAGTCCATCCAGTTCAAACCAAAAAAAAAGTTATAATCCTACACCCCACAGTTGATCCAGAGGAAGGCAAAAAAAAAACCCCCCAGCAAAGAACGATCCAATTTGTTCCTGCAGGGGAAAAAATTCCTTCCTGATCCCCCGAGAGGTAATCTGATATTCCAATGGATCAATCTTACCTATAAATCTAGTAGCCATATATATTCTGTGTATCCAATATAGAATCCAGGCCTTTTTTTAAAGCAATCCACTGAGCTGGCGAGAACCAACTCTTGAGGGAGTCTAGTCCACATTTTCACAGCTCTCACTGTGAAGAAACCTTTCCATGTTTGGAAATTAAATTTAATTTCCTCCAGACGTAAAGCGTGCCCCCTTGTCCTCTGTGATGACCTCAGGGTGAATAACTCTACACCAGGGGCAGACCGACAACTCATGGGGCCCCCCGGGCAATAGGGGATCATGGGGCCCCTGTGTCCTTGCCCAAACTCAAAAAAGCCTATGAAAAAAGGTACCAGGGGCATCTCATGGGGCCCCCTACTGACCCCGGGCCCTCGGGCAGTGCCCAAGTTTCCAAATGGTCAGTCCGCCCCTGCTCTACACAGAGTTCACTATATGAACCACTGATGTATTTATACATGGAGATCATATCCCCCCTTAATCTCCCCCCTCTTCTCAAGAGAGAATACATTCAGTTCCTCTAATCTTTCCTCATAGCTGAGCTCCTCCATGCCTCGTATCAGTTTGGTTGCCCTTCTCTGTACTTTCTCCAGTTCCCCAATGTTCTTTTTGTGAATTGGTACTCCCTAGTATGTATGATGTGTGCATATTCTTAACCCCAAAGGGTATAACTTTACATTTATCAATATTAAACCTTACCTACTTCAGTAGTTCATTCTCACATTACAGAACCAGAAGATTGCTCATATTCTATTAGCATGGGTCATATTTTATACAATCGCTCTGAGCAGATTGCTAGTTTTGATTTTTCAGGAATAAAAACATCACTGCTTATACTTTAGCTCCATCTAATGGAGAGTTTGAACATATCAACAATGCCTAAAAACATTTTGGCTGCCATTGTGCAATGAAAATAATTTCAATAAGTTTGTTTGATTCAGTCAGAAGGAAAGGAATTGGACGCTAACTTTTGCTTATTGTTTCATTGAAATTTTAGGATTTATAGACTTCATCGTGGAGCCAACATTTACTGTGTTGACAGACATGACAGAGAAGATTGTAATTCCACTCATTGATGAAGCCTCGCGGTCTGGGCTCACAGGATTTAGGCGATCTAGGTAAAGATTTATTACACAGAGATATTTTTCACATATACAAATGCTGAGAGAGGTGCAGACACGGTGAAGCTATGTAGAAACAAAATCTAATTTTAACCCCTTCCCGCTAACTGAACACATATATGAGGCCTTGTGGACATGTATCTTGATCCATGGGGCCACATATGTGGGTAGCTACAGTTGCAAGAAAAAGTATGTGAACCCCTTGGGATTACGTGGAGTTTTGCATGAATTGGGCATAAAATGTGCTCTGAAACGTCATCTAAGTCACAATAGAAGAACACAGTCTGCTGAACATAATACTACACAAACATTAGATGTTGCCATGGTTTAATTGCACATAACATTGTAAACATTCACAGTGCAGAGAGGAAAAAGTATGTGAACCTTTGGACTTAATAACTGGTTGACCCTACTTGTATGCTTTGGGTCATTGTCCTGTTGCATCACTCATCCTCTGCAGAGCTTCAGTTGGCGGACAGATGGTCGTACGTTTTCCTGCAAAATGTCTTGATAAACTCTGGAATTCATTTTGCCATCAATGACAACAATCCGTCCAGGCCCTGAGGCAGCAAAGCAGCCCCAAACCATGATGCTCCCTCCGCCATGTTTCACAGTGGGGATGAGGTTTTGATGTTGGTGTGCTGTGCCTTTTTTTCTCCACACATAGTGTTGTGTGTTCTTCCCAAACAACTCAATCTTGGTGTCATCTGTCCACAGTATATTTTGCCAGTAGTGCTGTGGAACATCCAGGTGCTCTTTTGCAAACTTCAAACGTGCTGCAATCTTCTTTTTGGACAGCAATGGCTTCCTCCGTGGTGTCCTCCCATGTACTCCATTCTTGTTTAATGTTTTCCTTATTGTAGATGTGTCAACAAAAATGTTAGCATGTGCCAGAGATTTCTGTAGGTCTTTAGCTGACACTCTGGGATTCTTCTTTACCTCATGCAGCATTCTGCGCTGTGCTCTTGCAGTCATTTTTACAGGACGACCACGCCTAGGGAGAGTACCAACAGTGCTAAACTTTCTCCATTTGTAGACAGTCTGTCTTACCGTGGACACATGAACATCAAGGCTTTTGGAGATACTTTTGTAACCCTTTCCAGCTTCATGCAAGTCAACAATTCTTGATTGTAGGTCTTCTGAGAGCTCTTTTCTGCGAGGCATGGTTCACATCAGACAGTGCTTCTTGAAACCAGTAAACCCAAAACAGGTGTGTGTTTTTTAAGGGCAGGACAGCTGTCTGCAACACATCCAATATCATCACACTGATTGGAGTCAAGGTTGGCTCACTCCTGGCTGCAATTAGCTCTGGGAGAAGTCATTAAGCTAGGGCCTCACATACTTTTTCCTCCCTGCACTGTGAATGTTTACATGTTATGTGCAATTAAACCATGGCAACATCTAATGTTTGTGTAGTATTATGTTCAGCAGACTGTGTTCTTCTATTGTTGTGACTTAGATGACGTTCAGAGCACATTTTATGCCCAATTCATGCAAAACTCCACGTAATCCCAAGGGGTTCACATACTTTTTCTTGCAACTGTATGTTGTGCTGGGAGTGAACTGGACTCAGAGGCCCGTTTCCTGATCACCTGATCTCTGTGGTTGGCTATCACAGTAATTAGTCACTGAACAACCCAACCCAGTGTTTTTCCTTCTCTTGAATGTAGAAAATACATTTTTTATTTTTCTCCTTGCTAGAGGAAAAAAATATAAACAAAGAAGTGTGTGTAATAAGAAAAAAAAAATAGCTAGGGTTTACTCTAGGACAGCGCCAGGATTAGGGTCAAGGTTAGGGTCTAAGATTATGGTCAGGGTCTGCATATTGTGGGCGGCACAGTGGCTTAGTGGTTAGCATGTCTGCCTTGCAGTAAATGTGTCATGGGTTCGATTCCCGACCATGGCGCCTCCTGCATGGAGTTTGCATGTTCTCCCTGTGCTTGCGTGGGTTTCCTCCGGGTGCTCCGGTTTCCTCCCACACTCCAAAGACATACTGGTAGGTTAATTGGATCCTGTCTAAATTGGCCCTAATATGTGTATGTATGAATGTAAGTTAGGGACTTTAGATTGTACGCCCCTTGAGGGTTAGGGACTGATGTGAATGTACAATATATATGTAAAACGCTGTGTAAATTGACAGCACTATATAAGTACCTGAAATAAATAAAAATATTGTAGGTAGGAGTAAAAAAAAAAAAAAAAAATAGTGTCAGGGTCAATTTTTTTTAGGTAGGATAAAAAAAGGAAAATGCACAATATTGTTTCTGGCCCCTACTACAGGTACATACAACAAATAACAAACACGTGTATATAGTTGTCTTGTAAAAAAGAAGACCTTGGGGTGCAACTGAAAACAAATTGAGTGAATGAGACAAAGTAGATCCAATGTAATGAAATAAAGGCAAAGTGCCAATAAATAAGGGAATATTTAGAACACCTAGAAATCCCAGAGGACAACCGTTAGCAATTCAGATAGATATTTCGGCTTTAAACACCGATCAATCATTAACTGACTCTTGTGCAAATTGACACAAAAAAATGAGTAGTAATGTTTCTTAAAATAAAAAAAAGTGCAAAGGCCGGAAGTAGGTATTTTACCTTAAATTTTACTCATTTATTTCTAAAAGCTTAGCAAAATAAATTTTGACCTTTCTATAATCACTTTTCTAACGAATTGCATTGATTTTTTTTTTTCAGTTTAAACAGCATAACTCCCTCAGAAGTTAAACGATCGAGTGTGAAAAGCACTGGATCAGAAGGAAGTGCCTCCTTGAATTGTTCAATCCTCACTGTGGACTTCAAAAGTTTTAAAAATACGTGGTATGACGTTGTACTACAGAACAGAGAAAAGTGGAAGGCACAAGCAACCAAAGGTGATGCATATGCAGAATAGTAATAATACACTATAAATGCTAAGCGTTCTAATATTGGGTATCTTATCCAAAGATGGCTGGTAATGTATGTATTTTTATTTGTGTTTAGGAATAAATTACAATAAAAATATATGTTTGTGACCATGAAATATTCTTATGTAGTGTAGAATATCTATATGGATACAATTGTTAGCCAGCAGTTAGAAATTTAGACTTCTTTTTACATGTTTACCAGGCTAATTTTACCCGCTTCACTAAAAAATTAAAGTATAACTAAAGGCAATTATTATTTTTTTTTTTTTTATGGTTTAGATAGAGTAATAAAGGGATCAGGACACCTATTAGGTTTTTATTGCAGTCTGCGCCCCTGTTAGGAAGATTCACCATCTCAATTATTGAGAGTGTCCCTAGAAAATTAATGGAGTGGAAATTTTCAAATGGGGGCACTAGTTCTGCTGACCTGGGGGACCCCATAGAATTCCCTTAATTTAGCAGGTATTTCCTTTCACTTCCAATTTTGGCTATGGGACAGAAGTAAAGCAAAATCTCTACTCCCCCCCCGGAAAAAAAAAAAACAGAGGTTATAACCCTTCCTTACTCTGTCCAGAATGAGTAAATGTTTTGCCTGTAGTTCTACTTTACAGCTCAGATGGTCCTCCCCCATCCAACTTTTTCTATTATTATTATTATTATACAGTATTTATATAGCGCCAACGGGTTTGCTCAGCGCTGTACAGTAGCAAGGGGGACAGAAAATGAGACAGGACGGTAACAATACAATACATGAGGGGTTCGAGAGCCCTGCTCTTTCGAGCTTACAATCTAGGAGGGAGGGGAAAGTGGTACAGGAGGAAATGGCTGTGGGGGATGGAGTGGTGGGAGGAGTGGAGGAGGTCAGTTGTTAGGTGAGGTTGGGGTAGGCTTCCCTGAAGAGATGGGTTTTCAGGGTGCGCCTGAAGGTGAGGAGGGTAGGTGACAGTCTGATGGATTGGGGTAGGGAGTTCCAGAGGATGGGGGAAGTCCTGGAGAAATCCTGCAGTCGGGCGTGGGAGGAGGAGACCAGGGAGCTAGAGAGTAGGAGGTCCTGTGTGGTGTGAAGGGCACGGGTAGGGTGGTATTTGGGTATCAGGTCGGTTAGGTAGTTTGGGGCGGCGTTGTGAATGGCTTTGTAGGTCAGGGTTTGAGCAGTTTGAATATAATGCGTTGGGCGATCGGGAGCCAGTGAAGGGATTGGCAGAGGGGGGTGGCAGATGTGGAGCGGTTGGTGAGGGACTGGATCAGTCTAGCCGCTGAGTTCAGGATAGACAGGAAAGGGGATAGCATGTGTTTGGGTAGGCCAGTGAGGAGGGGAACTCCTCTTTCATATTACTATATGTTGCAGTAGTCCAGGCGTGAGATGATGAGGGAGTGTACGAGTTGTTTAGTAGTGTCTGGGGTGAGGAATGTACGTATCTTGGAGATGTTGCGGAGGTGGAGCCTGCATGATCTTGATTGGACGTGAGGTAGGAAGGAGAGTGTGAGTCCAGGGTGACACCCAGGACTTTGGCATGTGGGGTGGGAGAGATGGTGGCGTTGTTAGTAGTGATGGAGAGGTTGGGGGGGGGGGGAGGATGGGGGGGGACCAGGAGCTCGGTTTTGGACAGGTTTAATTTTTTTATTATTAGGTTTGATTATCAGTATGCATTTCATATGGTTTTCTTTCTACACAAGAATAATCAGATAGACCCAAAAACATGGAATAAAATAAAATTTTTTATTTTAGACCAGCTACAGCATAAAATGCCCGGAAACTGAAGAACAAGAGCTACACATATAAATTCAGAAAATGTACACTTCAGTAAATTCTATGCAGATACAAATGTCCGTAAAGGATTGATCGCCTTGGCATGCGCACGTATCCTTTAGTAAATCAGGCCCATAATGCTCTATTTTAGTAAGAAATTATATAAAACATTATACAGAAACTTTAATAAATGTTCTTTATCCCCACATGGAATAATGATCTGGTAAATAATTAATTCTTAATACAATGGCAGCTACTACTGATGCTTCAGGCCTCATGGCCCTACAAGTAGCTTGACATGTTCATTAAAGAACTCCAAGAACAAAATAAATAATTGATAAGGTTTTATCTATAAATATATTCCATTTTACATAGAAGTATAATTTATCAATTTGAAAAGTCAGTTGCTTATTCTAGTTGATTCAGTAACCTAATGACACATTCTAAATGATAGAAATACTAACTGATTGCGCTTGAAATTACATTTATATTTCTATTAACATTAACCACTTGCTGTCCGCCTGCTGTTTATAAACGGCAGGGCGGTGGCAGTCCAGGGGCGGGTTGCCGTTCATAAATGGCACCCGCCATTTCTAGCTGGGAGCGCGCAGCACCGCGATCCGGTGCCCGCTGTGTCCTCCGGACACAGTGAAACACCGATCGTCGGACGGGACCTCTGTACGAGGTCCCGATCATGTGATCACTGATTGGCCAATCAATGATCACATGCAAAGTAGTAAGCAAGATGTCACTTGTGACATCATTGCTTACTACGTGTGAAATCTGTGAATGATCACAGAGGTCACATGGTACAAGGCTATTCACAACAGCCTTGTACCATGTGACAAGCTGTGACCAATCACAGCTCACTCAGTACTTCTCAATGACTGCAAGAATGCAGACAGAGAGAAAGAGAAATGATTGCTTTTACACCCATATAGGATGTAAAAGCAATCAGTGTAAAAAAAAAAAAAAAAATCTTCATCACCTCCAAGTAGTACAGTGTCACCATGGTGACACTGTACTGCTAGGGTGACAGTATGTAAAAATAAAAAAATAATATAAAAAAATATAAAAATGTAAAAAAAAGTTTAAAAATTATAGTTTTTGGTTATAAACTAATTTGGATTTTTTTTTTTTTTTACTAAAAAAATAACAATACATTTTGGCCAAGATTTATGATGAAATATTATTTATTTGCAAAATTTTATTAAAAAAACACTTTTTCAAAATTTTTGGACATTTTCATTTACATAGCAAAAAAAATTAAAAATCCCAGCGGTGAATAAATACCACCAAAATAAAGCTTTATCTGTCTCAAAAAAATGGTAAAAAATTAATATGGGTACAGTATTGCATGACCCGCGCAATTGTCATTCAAAGTGTGATAGCGCTGAAAGCTGAAAATTGCCCTGGACAGGAAGGGGGGGGAAGTGTCCGGACTGGAAGTGGTTAAAATTAACTTGATCTGTTCAGTAGCAAAAGTGTGCCCATTTATTGAACAGGAAGAAATCAGAAGTCTCGGTGGTATTAACTATAGTCTATTTGTAGGACAATACTATGATTACTGCTATGGAGTATACAACACACAGTCCAGTGTCGGCGTGGAAATAGTGTAAAGTGCGTAACTTGTGCTTTTTTTCCAGTTCTGCCTCATTTTATCACAACACGCATAAAAAAAAAAAAATTGACCATGCTAACAGGAGAATCAAGATGTGCATATGAAGTAAAAGGATGAAAGCTCCAAGCCATAGGGATTGATCCAGACATTATGTTTAATAGTAAAAGTCTACCAAGAGTTGAAAGCCAACACGTTTTATTTATTTCAGGTACAGGTACAGCGCCGTCATATTACGCAGCACTTTACATACCGTATTTTTCGCTCCATAAGACGCACTTTTCTCCCCCCAAAAAAGGGGGGAAAATGTCAGTGCGTCTTATGGAGCGAATATGGAGCGGCCGGTCTGGTATTTCCACCGCCGCCGTGTCAGAATACCGGGCCGGCTGCTCAGCTCTGCAGCGGGACCTTACCTGTTCCTCTATCCAGTGGCGCGCTGTCTTCCCGGCTTCTGTAGTGTGCTTGACAGCCGGGTGCCAAGTGCGCATGCGCAAGAAGCGGTGCTCTTTGTGAATGGTAAGGCGGTACCTGGGACACATGACAGATCCCAGAAGCCGCCGGACCAATCACAAAGCGCAGCGCTTCTCGCTCATGCGCACTGGGCACCCGGCTGTCCGCCGAGCACCGGCACTACAGAAGCCGGGTAGACAGCGCGAGGCTGGATAGAGGAACAGGTAAGATCAAAGAACAACTCCTCGGAAGTAAGAGCGGGTACCTGTCAAATTCAGGTACCCGCTCCCCCCCTCCCCAAAGGTCAGCAGTCATCTCCTGTACTATGTCCACAGTCTCTGGTCATCTCCTGTACTGTGTCTGCAGTCTCTGGTCATCCCTGTACTATGTCCGCAGTCTCTGGTCATCCCCTGTACTATGTCCGCAGTCTCCTGTCATCCCCTGTACTATGTCCACAGTCTCTGGTCATCCCCTGTACTATGTCCACAGTCTCTGGTCATCCCCTGTACTATGTCCGCAGTCTCTGGTCATCTCCTGTACTGTGTCCGCAGTCTCTGGTCATCTCCTGTACTGTGTCCGCAGTCTCCGGTCATCCCCTGTACTATGTCCGCAGTCTCTGGTCATCTCCTGTACTGTGTCCGCAGTCTCTGGTCATCTCCTGTACTGTGTCCGCAGTCTCTGGTCATCTCCTTTACTGTGTCTGTAGTCTCTGGTCATCTCCTGTACTGTGTCTGCAGTCCATTAGTTCTGAATTTTTTTTTCCTGTTTTCTGCCTCTAAAACCTAGGTGCGTCTTATGGTCAGGTGCGTCTTATGGAGCGAAAAATACGGTATATCTTGTAAATTCACATCAGTCCCTAACCCTCAAGGGGCGTACCAGGAAGAAACCCACACAGGCACAGGGAAAACATGCAAACTCCAAGCAGGTGGTGGTGTGGTTGGCATTCGAACCAACGACCCTAGTATTGCCAGGCAGAAGTGCTTAGGGGATATACAGTCAGGTCCATAAATATTGGGACATCGACACAATTCTAACATGTGTGGCTCTATATACCACCACAGTGGATTTGAAATGAAACGAACAAGATGTGCTTTAACTGCAGACTGTCAGCTTTAATTTGAGGGTATTTACATCCAAATCAGGTGAACG